TGAATAGATTTTGGGTCGTCAAATTGAACAGCGAATTTAAATAAAGTGCATATCGTTAAAAAAGCAAATTTAGAATAATATAAATAAAGCGAAATTAAAAAAAGTAACAAAAGCATTTATTAGGACGAATTTTAGAGATATTACATCGTGTAAAGTTAGAAAGGGGGAGTGAATTTTGTAAAAACTATGATGGAATCCAAAGGAAACGTAATTAATGAATTTCACACCATAAAAATATGACTTGGATCATGATCCTTCAACCTAAGCCCAAAAAGAATTCAATTAGGTGGGCTGTAAATAATAAATAATGGAGAAACCAAGAATAGTGTTTAAAGGATCTTTATGATGCGTCTCAATTTAGTACTAAAAAAGAATTCAACGAAGTGGGCTGTAAATAAAGAGAAAATATTATATGTGCGACTTCGATGCATTCCTTCGATCTAGTACTAAAAAAGTATTCAATTAGATGGAATGTGAATAATTAATAATGGAAGAAAAATTACAATACCTGGAATAACGCGCAGCTAGAGGATCTTTATGATGCGTTCCCTCGACCTAGGCCTAAAAAAGATTAAATTAGAGCTGTAAAACAATTAATAATAGAAAAGAAAATATACTATACCAGAAAGTGTGCGTGAGACAGAGTTATACAGTAGAAGGGAAATCGAAAGGTGAGGGATAAAATAAGTATCACACAATAAAACTTACTATTAAAGCCTCTGATAGAACACTAATTAACATGCAAGACCTAAAATGAAAGAGATTAGATTAGCATAGCCTTCTTTCGCTGTAATTCTTTATAAAGAATATTTTTTTTTCATTGTAATAAAGTAATTATCTCTTGAATTGTAAATAACTTAAAGTGAAAGTTCATTATTCTTGTCTTCTGATTGATAGTGTGATAGTAAAATCTGCGTATTATTGAACCAAAAAGTATAATCGAATTAAGAATACCCATCATTCACCTTTTTCGAGACTAAATCCTCACATACAAAATTGCTGTATAGATCTCCAACAATACATTATTATAACATGAATACGTGTACTACTTGTCAGCACCAATTATTCACAGAAGCCTTCTTCCGCAAGGGCAAACTTCTCAAAACCTGCTCTATCTGCTTAACTAAAAAATCTGAAAAAGCAGCGAAGCAAGTTTCACCTGTTGACAATAAATTAGAAAATCAATTTGAAAATGAGATGGAGGAGATTATTTTTACTGATATCATCAAATATGTCTCAAATAAAATCACTAATCTTGAGCAGAATGCTGGACTTTTTTTTAATTTATGCGTTAAGCTTAATGATGATATATTGATCACTGCTCACCACGATATGAAACTCTTGGTAAGATTGATAGTAAACGAGATCAAAGAAGGCGACAGATATAAATGGATATAAGTTGCCTTAAATTGTAAACCTCAAAATTAACACGCGCGTTAAATATATTAATTTTTATTTGATAGATTTACAATTGGACCTACCATATTGGTACATCATTCTGGTATTGGTAAGTTCTACCTTGCTTGTTCTCAATGCTTCGAACTTGAACGCGAATATAAAGAATCAAACCGCAAAAGGATGGACCATTTTGATTGTCATAATAAGTTAATTATCTATATTAATATGACGGCAAAAGAGGTATCGGTAAAGCTTTGTCACAATATTTAGCATGAAAAGCCTATAGATCTTACAACTCCACCAGAAATAAAACATGAGATCATGGAGAACCTCTATATGGATCCTGTGCAGCTTCAGACACATCTTCGTCAAACATTCGATATTTCGCAAATTACTCCGAAGCAAATCAATTATTGGTGGTCTACTTTCTGTTAGCGTTTCTACAAATTAGACGAAGATTCTGTTATTTCTGCACGTCGCTTTTTAGAAAATCTGAATAATAATAATCAGTTTTGTTTTGAGTGGAGGAGTGAATTGGTTACAGCAATTGGATTCATAACTCTTTTGCTAACTAAACTCTTACCTGTGTTGAGTATCCATTATGATGTGACCTACAAACAGTTAAAGAATGATTTGAGCTCTATGAAATTATCAGTAATACTAATGGCGCAGGATTTCCAATTGCGTATTTGTTACTAAATACTATGAAAGCATTCGACAATAAAGAACAAACAGGGCTACGAACAAAAGCACTTGCCGGCTTTCTTCGCTTTCTTCACAACAAGAGGTTAGAACCGCAGTACTTCTTTACTGACAAAGATTTCGCTGAGATCAATGCTGTAAAAGAAGTGTGGCCAAGTATTAATGTGCAGCTTTGTCTGTGACATGTAGAAAGGGCAATAAAAAAAAAACTTAAGAGTCGTAAGAGAATACAACGTACCCAGTATCAACCAGAGGAAGCTGTTGCAGAGTTTAGTTTCATTGATCTCACCTTCGTGCCTGATTTAAAACTTTCAGAGTCTGAGTATTATATTGTATGTCCACCGGAACTACGAAATAAAGCTATTGAGCTTGTCAAAAAACATTTTAATATGCATCCAAAAATCTCTATCAATACTACTGGACAGTTTTTGACAGCTAATGAAATCCGAAGAAGTGCAGTTCATGAAATGTATAATTTTTGCACTGAAAATAAACTTGAATTACTTTGGGCATACTTATGGTCTGCATGGTATAAAATTACAAGGTGGATGCTTTGGGCACGATTAACACAGATAACAATTCCGATTTGCAAGACGAATATGCTAATTGAAGCACATTGGAGAGTTGTAAAATGTTGCTACCTTTACCGATTCAACAGACCACGACTTGATTATGTTGTATAAATTATCTGCACACGTCTCCTTTCCGACCAAATTACTCGTCTCGATCAAATGCATCTGGATCGAATAACTCCATGTTGGTTTGATGATTTTAAAAATGATTGGAAGCAGCTTAGTATGAGACAAATTGCTGATGATGATGATAATCATTACTTTATTGATCCAACACATTGAATATGTAGCTGCCCTTCATTTCTTCATAGCTGATTTCTTATTTGTAAACACTTAGTCCATCGCGTAGTTGAAAAGGTGAAATTGCTTGATTCACGAGGTATCCGGTTGATGTATGAAAATTTTCAACGGTGAGAAGACTATCCTTTTCTCATTTGGAATATAGAAGAAATCAATACCTACCAGTCTTTAATTTTGCAGGATGATAACCAAGCTTTAATTTCGTGAACTGAAGTTAATAATGAATTTGTTAAAATGAATGAAGATGACGACGAAGCTTTTGATTCTGAAATGTGGCAGATTTGTGAGTGCAAGATAGCTGCCGTAAGACGTATAACAGAATATCTGGAACAAGAACTCTCAGCAAACAACTTAAATCATATTACACGCGTAGTCAACAATATGAATAAGTTGTTTACTATGTTAAATGACATTGAGAAGGCACAACATAGGTGAAGACGTGATCTGACGTGGCAAGGATCAATCTTATGGACATTATTCTTGCAATAAAATAAAGTTCATATTCTCTTATTATATCATAATATAAATAAAAAATGTATATAAAACAGGCTTACGAGCTTAATAAAGATTCTCCAAGTGCTACCCATAATTCTCTTGAAATCAATTGCATACAATTCTCTTTCAAGCTTGTAAAACTCATATAACGTTGACGTGTTTGTTGGTTAGGACTTGATACCAGAAAATACATTATTAGAATACAGTTTTGTAAAGAATTTATGGAATGGACAACTGAAACGCAAACTATATTACCTGAAATTTCCTGAGCTATTGGATTTTGGATATTCCTATTAAAAAAAACTCTCCGAACACACACATACACACAACACATGATATCGCGACAGGACTTAAGATGCTGACAATCGAAACTTAGTTTGCCAAAAATTCATTATTACGTCCACAAATAATATTTTTTATTATTACTTTGTTTACTTTACTCCACATTATTTTGTTTACTCGACATTGTTCCTTTATTATTATGGCAATTTTTATAATTACATTATGCTAAAATAGAAAGAATTTTCATCTTCGTACATATTAATTTCTGGAAATGGATCGGTGAGTTCATTAATCAGGTGATCAGATCAAATAATCACGTGATCTGAAAAAGTCACCTACATCCTGATACAGTCATCTGTGAATATTAACTCGATGAACATGAATTGTAAGAACTCGAAGACCAACAATGAAATGAGATAATGAAAAATGAATCATCCTATGAGAATACCTTAATAAAACAGCACAGACTTTGAGATATCAAATAAAGGAATCAATGAAGACTATATGAAAACTCTATTATATAGAAAGATCAATGAAATGGCTAAAATAAATAATTTAATAGAAGCCTTAACTCATCTTAGTAATATCATAAATGCTAAACTCATCCAAAGATCTGAAAAAATTCTTATATCAATACAAAAATTCTGAGATAAAAATCAAAATCTGGTCAAATAGCTTTGAGATTTCAAAATTATTGCTCGAGCTAACAGAATTATCAATGAACAAAAAATTCAAATTGTATAAGGTTACCTTGAAGGAACTGTATCCGCTTGATTTAATCAAAGAAATACCAATGACAATTCCCAATTAAATGACTGAACAAATCAACAACAGAATGAACACAATTTCAAATACCAATTCATATTAAAATTTCAAATTCACTAAAAGATAAAACAATGACAAGATGAACTCAAAACTCTGAAGCAAGAAGGAACTATTGAAGAATACACCAATCAGTTCATCCAATTATTAAAAAAAGTTGATTCCAATAGCAATTATCCAGCTGATTACAAGACAAGAATCTACAAAAGAGAACTTAAACCAGAAATTAGAAAGTGAATTACTATAAACTCTGATAGAATATTGAACAAAATAATTAAAGTAACCAGAACAGTGAAAGAAGCAGACTCAGAATTATCAAAATAACTCTATTACCAGACATAAGTAATCATGACCATGAATCTAATCACTATTATTTAGATGCTCCAGGATCTTAATAGCTGATTCAACTGCATGAAAAATGACAGAAAGGGATATTATTTATTAAGAAGTAACAATCCAGCTCAGAGTTAATCAAGATTTCAAGAACTCTTAAAATGCTATCACTATAAACAAACTGGACACATCCAATGATACTGCTCAAACTCACTTGGTATAAACAATCAAGGATCAAACTTTTGATAGAGCCAATCTTTGCGGACAAATTGGAATATCATTCAAAATAACAATTCCAATATGACTGCAAATCCTGCTCCTATTCAGATTACAAGCTACAATATCATAACTACGAATAATAATATCACTCTCCTGACACAAATATAATTAATTATTGCTGCTTTACAAGCAATATTGATCACAATAACTATATTATCAGCTGATCAATCCAGTTCAATTCTTCTTGCAATATACAAATATCTTGAAGGATGCAAACAGACTAAAAGTATCAATCAGAAGATACTGTAGATGATATTTTCTGATCTGTCAAATCTAAGCTACCCAAGAAAATCTTACTAATAGTAAAAAAGAAAAAAAAAGCTGAACTACTGGTATTGACTTCTCAGACCATTTTATATAATATTCTTAATGACTTAATAAATACTAAAACAAATATTATGATCATCCAACTGATTGAAATCTCGTTAGCACAGAGAATGAAAATATTCAAGAGAATGTATTGATTACTGAAATACAAAGAAACTCAATGATCCATGGAAATAATAATCTAAATTAAGATCAGAATAACATCAGCTTGATGTAAGACAAAAGTTGAAATGATATTTATAGATCTCATTATAGATACAGGTATCTCTGGATGCATTATCAGCCATGATTTCATACAAAAAAACAATATAAAGATCCAGCAAAAGTCAAATATCACCATGTTCAATATCAATAGTTAGGTCAAACAGCCTTTAGAAACTATTGATAACTTTTTAATTATGGTTAACAGAATTGTAATTCTGACTGAGATAGATATCACTGAGACAAAAATCTATAGTGAGATAGTCAGGATAAACTGGTTAACAAAGTAAACACTAACATTAATATGAGAAAGAGAACAATAACTTTTGAATAGGAAAATCAAAAAAAAGAATTAACATCAAATTTATCCATGAACAAAGGAATTCGAATGCATCTAAAACCAGAACTGAAACTGAAACATCCAGCTCCTCCATTAACGAATCCTCTAACAGTAATTACGAAGTTGAAAAACAACAACTAAAAAGTCAAAACTTCCTATTTTGAAACTTTGACAAATCAAAAATTGAGGAGAAAACAGAAATTGAATTTGAAGGAATCTTCTATCATATAATTAATAAAATCTACAAAATTGAAAATGTAGCAAGAAAGTAAAATATAAAACAAACTAGTTATCTAGAGAGAATATACACAAATGCAAGATAAATTTAATCAAGCCTGATTTTGCTTGCATTAAAATTTTGATTGGAAGGGATCTACTGCTGAATGTTGGTGCTGATAATGACTGGAGAACTTCAATGATGAATGCTATCACTGTTATAAGAAGCTCACTCTCTGAATAAATGTTAAACTCAATCTACTGGATAATCTTTCCTATATTCTACCTGTCGAATCTGTAAGAAATGATGAAAGAACAATAGTTGAATGACAAAAAACTCCTGGCAAGATTGAACTCACAAAAGAAAATTCAAAACAAAAGAAAGTGCACTTGTCTACTTTCAGTTTGAGAACTGTGTGATGTTTTGCAAAGGATGTGAGTAATTGGTAGATTGAGCAGAGTCCCATACAGTCTACAAACAGAATGAAACAAAAAAATTATATTGTAAAGAATGCGTTATAAGAGAAAGGATGACTTAATCTACCAATCTGTATTTAATGTGAACAATGTGCTCTGGCATGAGAAATGTATATCATTAGGACAAGTTATTTGATGAAATATTTCTGCTCTTATTTGAAATAATGCATCTATATATTTAATTATGGCAATTGACAGAGAAATAAGAGAATAATTAAAAAACTTTGCAACACTGATAACCTATTACATGTATATTGTGAATATAATGAGATAAAGAAAGCCATCCTCACTAAACATATTACTAAATACAATATGGAAGAAGAGATAATATGAGTTGATTATTCTGGTCCTGAAGATACTTTTGTACAAGAAATATTTATGGAAATCTACCAACAGATTTCTTCTGATCAATAAATACAGCTAGCTCGCTTGAAGTATATTAATATCTAACTTTACAAGAAATATCTAATACCTTGCAGCTTGAATAAATGTACAGATTGCATATAATCTGACTAACCAACCAAAACTAAAACTGGATTAATTAA